AGCTGAGGGAAGAAGCCACCCACCCTCCCGTGAAGGAGCAACCTGAAGGGACAGCTGACAGGGCAGACAGATAACAGAGGCAGATGCACCCACGTGCCTCAGCAGCAGGAAAACAGAATTACAACCCTACTGTGTTAACCAAATCCCTCCGTGAAGTAGTCTTCCAAAGGGAAACACTTCATGCACTGTTTCAAGAGGGATGTGTTTTGGGCTGCCTTTAATCAGGTGGCACTTTCTGTTTCTACATAACTCGGGATGGTGCCCCCACCCCACCTAGGGTGACCAGATGAGAGGAAGAAAATATCGGGACACATGGGGCGGGGGGGTCGCCGGCAGAGCAAAAAAAAAAGCGGAGCAGGACGCGGGACAAACACCTAAATATAGGGACAGTCCCGATTTTATCGGGACGTCTGGTCACCCTAGCTCCACCAAGGTGTGTCTGGCAGTGGCTAGCTGCTGCTGCTTCTCTGGGGAGTCCTCAACTCCCGAGCTGGATTGGCTGGGCTGGATGGGGTCAGTGCTGGGGGGAGCTGAGGAAAGCGTCATGTTGGTGGATGCTCAGGGCGACAAGTCTGCCCTCTATACACAAGAGCATCACTTATCCAGTCTCCTGCCTCATTAGCCCACTAAGGCCTATGGGGATCTGATGTAGCCATGCTCCATGCTGTGACTATCCCATGATCTAACCCCCTCAGAAACAGAGGTTCTCTAAACCCTGCAGCGAGGGCACTGGCGCCCCCTCCCCCTCCCCAGAAGGAGTCTGTCTCTGTTCCAATGCTGGGTTATTCGTTCTTCTCTGGCAACCTGATATATATATCTCCTGCCTCCCCCTCCTGCCCTGGGTGTCTGAGGCTGGGGATGGGAATAGCTCACCTGGGTGGAGGAAAAGCCCCCGTTGGGATTCTGCTGCTTGCTGATCCACTTTTCAATTTGAGCTGCTAATGACAGGTCTTCTTGGGATGGTGCCGGCCGCGTGGGGAGGTAAGCGAGGAGCGCGTAGGACATCATCTCCACCTTGGCGGAGGGAGCACGGGGGTGATAGAACGGGAGATCAGCCTCTGGCTGCTTCCCGGGCCTCTGCCAGTGAACGGAGCCATCTGCAGTGGGAGAAGGGAGAGGGAGGAGAAAAGGAAATGTTTATTACCGAATATCTGGTTTTTGCCAAGAGGGTTACTGACATACTGTCACTGAGGATGGAGAATGGAGTCCCAACCCTTGCTGGGCATGTCAATACAAAGCATGAAGGTATTAAATAATCCCTCTAGTGGGTCGATACAGTCCAGATGTGGAAACTCTCAGTGTCTAATTAGGTTGCTGCACCTGTGCCTGTGTCTCCCACATTTTATGAAGTCAGATCCCAGGAATGGCCAGTGCCAGGGTTTTTAAGGCTCATTGATCTAAAATGTGTGAAGAGGCTAAATAATCCCGACCTGCCGCAGTACAGACTGAAGGTTATAGCAATAACAATCAAACCCTTCTCCTGCCAGGCTACATAGGGCCAGTGGACCGGGATGCAGAAGAAGAGCCCATAAACAGGTCTCACCCTCTTTCACAGTTTCCTTATCAAGCGAGTCCAGCAGTGCCCTGTGCTTCTCCTCCTTCCCTGCCAGAGTGAAGGCGTAGGCCATCAGTGCCTTTGTGTACACGTGGCTTCCTCCTTGCTCCATGGCTGTTTCCAGGCAGAATAAAGCACTACGGACCACAGAGTGCTGCGGGGAACATAGAGGGGAAATAATCAGTGTTTGCAGTGTGACGATATGAGCTAGGCTTTGGGCACTGCCTGTGCAGGCTGTCATCTCATGGCCACAGAGCACAGATGGATTTAAATAAGAGGTGCAGTGGATCTAATATAACACAGATGCTGGTGATGGGATGAGTGACTGTTTGACACCAGTCACTTGCATGGTCCCAGTGAACTCAGACTCTTGTAGTAATTTGGTCACGCCATCCATCACTGTGGGCCACTGAGCACAGAAATGTGGCTTAAATGTGTCTAGCTGAGACAGCCTCAGCAGTTACAAAAATCACATTCCTGCCTTCCATGGGGTAGCCATGTTAGATACAAGGCCTTCACAATTTGGAGAAATTAAGGTAATCTGAGGTGTCTAGGGCTATTTATTGAATTTTAACCAAGAAAACATGTGGAAGGCAAATGAAACAGACTCTGCCATGGATAGCAATGGGCCAACAGCTGTCAACTAGTATATAATCCCTCCCAGTCATTCATCCAATGAAAAGCATGACTAGATGTTAGGATATAGATATTCAGGCCTGTCTGTAAAGACCTATACTTTAAGAATTTAGGTGTATTCTTATCACTTAGCTAGTTATAGAGGTATAAAAGAAAGAATCAAAATCACTGTCTGTCTGTGTAAGGGCCTTCTCTTACAGTGACAGTCTGAAGCTCTGTTCTTAGGCTAAGGCCTTCAGCTAAGCAGCAGAGGCAGCCATAAACTGGGAAATGTACGGTCACATCCTTACATTCCAAACCAGTCACATTGAAATAAGGTGCTATTGGGCTGTTAGGAATACAATTCTGTCCTGATATTCCTATCACCTCCAGAGAAAGGGAAGAGCCTAGAAAATGTAAAAGGAAACTTAGTTTGATAGCATCCTGTCTGGCAAGAACTCACTTATCAATAGCTGGGATGTGAAATCCTCATCTCTTTGTTCTTCTATAGTCTCCACTTCCCTATTGTTTGTCTGTATAATCTCAGTTTGGTTCTGTGATTGTTTCTGTCTGCTGTATAATTAATTTTGTTGGGTGTAAACCAATTAAGGTGGTGGGATATAATTGGTTAAATAACCATGTTACAATATGTTAGGATAAGTAGATAGCTCAGTGGTTTAAGCATTGGCCTACTAAATCCAGGGTTATGAGTTTGATCCTTGAGGTGGCCACTTAGGGATCTAGGGCAAAATCAGTACTTGCTCCTGCTAGTGAAGGCAGGGGGCTGGACTCAATAGTCCTTTCCAGCTCTATGAGCTAGGTATATCTCCATATATTTTATTTATATTATTGGTTAGTTAAATTTCAGTAAAATGATTGGTTAAGGTATAGCTAAGCAGAACTCAAGTTTTACTATATAGTCTGCAGTCAATCAGGAAGTAAGGGGGGGATGGGAACAGGGACTAGGGGTGGGGGAATTAGAATCATGTTTCGCTGGCTGGGAATGGGAACAGGGAATGGGAACAGGGACACAGGCAAGGCTCTGTGGTGTCAGAGCTGGGAAAGGGGACACTGATGAAGGAAACTGGAATCATGCTTGCTGGAAGTTTACCCCAATAAACATCAAATTGTTTGCAACTTTGGACTTCGGGTATTGCTGCTCTCTGTTCATGCGAGAAGGACCAGGGAAGTGAGAGGGTGAAGGAATAAGCCCCCTAACACTAGACCCCTAGTACGTTTACAGAGACTATATAAAACAAACAGGAATAATGAAGAAGGGAGTAGCCACGCTGTCAGGCTGAAAAGCTTCCATCAGTCAGACCCATCTGAGCTGCAGCCAGACACACAGGAGACAGTGACCGAGCACTACAGCTCTTTTGACATGAATTTGGGATTCTTTTTTTCCATTGTGCATATTAAAAAAACCAAATAAATAAAGAGCCAATCAAAGAAGCAGAGCTCGGCCAGAACCAGTACTGCACACCCAGCTGCTTCTGAGGCCTGGGGACCGTCTCATTCTGGAGCCAGAGCCAAAGCCTTTCCAGACTGGGTTTTTCCCTCCTTTCCTTAGAGGTCCCTTTATCAGGGAAGCAGGCTGCCACTATCAGGACTCGGATGGGTATAGGGAGTGGGGGAGAGGGGAGGCTGCTGACCCAGGGGAACTCATGAAGGGGACTTTGTGCGTGTGGATACGTACAGTGATGGGCAGAGGAATCTCTAGCAGCGCGATGGTGATGTAGGCAGAGAGCGTGACCTCATCGTCCACCCCGCCCTGCAGGGAACCACAGAGAGAGACACATTAACCCCACGCAGCACCTAAAGCCTTTCCCCGCTGGGCCCTCTACATACTACATCCTCATGCCCTTTATCTGCCCACTCTTGCCATGCCCCATGA